CGGCTCTGACTCCTGGGGAGTCTGCGTCCTGGGGCCCTGGCGTGGTGGGTGGGCAGTGGGGGTGACTGCTCTACCGAGGCTCCCACACCCTCCCTGCTGGCCCAGGGTCCACCCACACCCCAGGCTTGTCCTCCACCTGAACGTGGCTGCAGCCCCTCACCCCCAGGGCCCCTGCTTGGGTCGACCCTGTCCAGCCCCTTGCTGGGCTCCTGAGCCCAGAACGGACTCCTGGCGCCGTGGGTGGAGAATTCTTCGCTGGAAAGAGGGCGGCGCTGCCTCTGTGGCCAGGTGTGTAGACGCCATCCTGAGACACTCAGAGGGCGCCTGTTGGTTTCTGTGGGGTGACAGGTCTCGGAAACAAGGTGCAGTGGGTGAAAAGAAAAACAAGAGAGACAAAGTTGTGGAATCAGGGGGCTGCAGCTTCCAGGGCTGAAGCCTGGATTGCAATTTTCTTTAGCCTTTCATTAGGATCCTGTCACGGAAAGCGGGAGCAGGGGAAGCAGGAGGGGTCACGAGCAAGGTCAGGGAGGGCAATGTGGTCCACCTATCCCAGGAGCTGTACTTCGGCACTCCCGGCCATCAAGCCATCATTCCTTCGGACAGATCTCAGCAAAGCATCCGGTGCTGTCCCGGCAGCTTTCCACAGGGACTAAGGTCCCGCTTTCATTTCCTTCTACACTAATGCTTTGCAGACCTCCTCCAGAAGTCATATAGCTTGGTCACACTCAAAGTTCCACATGGGTAAGACATAGTAAGGTAAACTATATGTGTCTATTTTTCTTTTGTCTTTTTGAGACAGGGTCTCACTCTGCAGTTCAGGCTGGCCTTGAGCTTACTTTGTAGCCCAGGCTGGTCTCGAACTCGCAGTGATCCTCCTGCCTCAGCCTCCCAAGTGCTGGGATGACAGGCATGCACCACCACGCCCGGCTAGAAAGGCAAACTATAGAATGTCCTTCTCCAGGGGTGCCTGGTGTGCAAGTCTATGTGTGTGGGGAGTGCAGAATTGGGAATCCATAACATCAGGACGTGGACTGGTGGCGTATACCTGTCATCATCCCAGCATCCAGGAGGCTGAGGCAGGAGAATCACTGTGAGTTCCAGGCCAGCCTGGGCTACATAACAAGTTCAAGGCCAGCTTGAACTACACAGGGAGACCCTGTCTCAAAAAACGAATACATAAAACAAAACAAAAATCCAAGCAAAGATACAGTGCTGAATTTTATGTAGCATATATTTTAGCACAATTAAAAGCAAAAACAAAGCTGAGCATGGTGGCACATGCCTGTAACCCCAGCACTCAGGAGGCTGAGGCAGGAGGATCACTGCAAGTTCGAGACCAGCCTGGGCTAGAAAGTGAGCTCACGGCCAGCCTGAACTGCATAGCGAGACCCTGTCTCAAAAAGACAAAACAAAAAAACCCCAAATCAAAAACCACTCCCTGCCCCTATCCTGATGGGTGTAGGGCCCACCCGTCCCAGAGGGCTGATGACCACCACCCTGTCCCTGCCGTGTCCCGTGTCCCCAGACCCTGCTCTCCATGTCCCCACACAGATGACCTCACAGAGCCAGCGTCCAGCAAGAGGCAGGAATGGTCAGGTGCGCCAGGGTCACCCGCTTCTAAGAGACACAAGACCGATCCCAGATCCTCCTGCCTCAGCCTCCCGCCTGCTTAGATGACGGCATGTGGCCAGTGCTGGCCGTAGGTTCAGCGGAGCATCTGCCCTAGTGAACCAGGCTGACACACGGGGGCCCTGGCACCTTTGCTTCCAGGAAACAGCGGCCGGGCCGGACACCCCGAGTGCCGCCCTGAAGGCCCTGCGAGATGCCATTGGCCGCCGCAGCCAGGGCACAGGGGCAGGGACGGAGGAGGAGGAGAGCGGGCGGCCCCTGGAGGACCCGCGCACGGCGGAAGTGAAAGCCGCGTTTCCCAACCTCCGCTTCCCCTTCCTCAGCGTGGGCGCCGAGGCGAGGCTGCAGGGGACGGCCGCCGCCCCGCGCCCCGCGCCCCATGCTGC